TATATATATACAGTGGGTATAAAAAAGAATCACCCCCCTTTAAAATAATCACATTTTGTTGCTTTGCAGCCTGAAATGAAGACGGACACAGTTTTCGTTTTATCCAACTGTATTTACTCAGTGCAACTCATAACATCCAAGTGAAAAATATAACACTAATATTTTAGAAAACAAACAAACAAAAAAAACAGAATCACTGATTTCACCCCTCCTAAAAATTACTTGTAAACTCAATCAGGTGTAGCTAATCACCTTCTCAATGGCACACAAAGCTATTTGAATTTCAGCTGTGATCAGCTGTGGTCATTTTGATTAGCTCAGCATGAAAATAGCTTTCCTAGAGCATTTCAGTTCTTGGTAGTACAACTGAAACAAACAATCCACTATGGGTGGCAAGGCACTGTCAAAAGATCTCCAGGAAAAAGTTGTGGACAGGTACAAGTCAGGATAAAAAAAATAAATAATGGATGGATAAAAAAAAAATTAAAAGGCTTTATCGATGCCTAGAAGCACAGAGAAGTCTATTATTAAGAAGTGGAAGGTATTTGGTTTAACACAGACGCTTCCTGGATCAGGACGTCGCTCCAAACTGGATGAAAGGGCCTGTTTACACCTGGTCACTTCATGCGTTTTTTCTGATCGGATAGCTATCCGATCGTGAAAAGACCAGGTGTAAATGCCCTCAAAAGGCTACGTTCACACTTTGAGCCTTAGTGCTCAATTCCGAATTTTTTGTATAGCTGTTCACATTGTTGTTCTAAATGTGGCCAATATCAGATTTCCAGTGTGAACAGATCATAGTTCTGAACTGACCCGCATGCGCAAAAGAGTGATACGAACAGGGTTTCCAGATTTTCACAACAAAATCCGCCCAATTCTTTCTCAAAACTAGTCCAAAACTATCCCAATCATGTTCAGGAAGGTAAACATCGCGTTAGTGGGGTCGAGTCAACCCACGAAGTTAAAAAACATCCCACGGAAACAGTAGCCCAATTCCATGGGGAAAATGTAGATTTGGCAACACTTGCGCAGCACGCCATCATACGGAAGTAAACACAGAGGATATAAAGTAAGCAATTATGTGTTTATTTATAGTGTGATCTGCTGCAGAAGCCAGCGAAATTATACACAGGCAATATGAAAAAATAAAGACAAGGATGTGACAAAAGAAAGCAGAGTTGTCACTGTAATACACATGAGTTCTGACACATCACACTTCCATTGATTAACTTTCGCTACTGTCTTGATAACTTTGGGTATGTAAAATCTTTGAAGTGTCTCCCGTAAGTGCGGAATTATGACGAATGTCAATCTAGAGTGAAAAAGCCACATGAAATCCGACATGACCGTTCACACTGCAGTCACATTGCAAAACATCTGACATCCCTGTTGAAAAAAACAGCTATTAGGTATGTTTTAAAGCTGGGATACTGGTTTGAGCTGGTTTAAGCTGGTCCTTTGCTGGTTTTTGCTGGTCCTTAGCTGGTCATGTGCTGGTATTAAGCTGGTCGGACCAGTTTAGGACCAGCACATGACCAGCATAAACCAGCAAATGACCAGCTTAAACCAGCAAAGGACCATCATAAACCAGCAAAGAACCAGCTCAAACCAGCATCCCAGCTTCAAAACATACCTAACCAGCATATGCTGTTTTTTTCAACAGAGATGGATCGGATTTAGTACCACATATGGAAGTGGCACAAATCAGAATAGAAAAGATCAGATTCCATGCGGTTTGTGCTGTTCACACTGTCATGACAAAAAAAGACCTGAGTCACATGTGAGTAAAAAAAATCAGATTTGGGCCACATTTGCCTGCAGTGTGAACGTAGCCAAAGTAAGATGCAGACCGTCAACACACAATCATCTTCATTAAAAGTAGTAAGACAAACGTATCTTTCCAGTGCTGATGCCACGCACTCTCCTATTGCGGTCTTTGATCTTGAAATGAGCTGATAATTAATAAAATGCAGCACTTATCTTTTGATTTAGTTGACGTTAACTCTGTTAAATTTAAATATAGCGCGGGAATTGAAGATCTGATTTATATCCGATTTGCGACGACACATTTATGTGGCCAAGTGTAAATGGAAACGTTTTAACAAATCAGATAGATATCCGATCAGCGAAAACACATGAAATGACCAGGTGTAAACAGGCCCTTTGAGCCAGGAGGAAACTGGTCAGAGAGGCTACAAAGAGGCCGACAGCAACTCTGAAGCAGTTGCAGGAATTTATGACAAAGCGTGGTCATTGTGTGCATGTGACAACAATATCACAAATTCTCCACAAATGTGGCTTATATGGGAGGATTGCAAGAAAAAAGCCACTCCTCAAGAAAGGCCACATGCAGTCCCGACTGAGCTTTTTCAAAATGCACCTTGAAGATTCTGAGGCAGATGAGTCTAAAATTGAATTATTTGGCCTCTACACCAAACGATATGTCTGGCGGAAAACCAATACAGCTCATCATCCAAATAACACCACTCCTCCAGTAAAGCATGAGGTGGTAATATCCTGTTATGGGGTGTTTCTCTGCAGCAGGGACTGGAGCACTTGTCAGGATAGAAGGAAAAATGTATGGGGCAAAATACTGTCACACTCTTGAGAAAAATCTGCTGCCCTCTGCCAGAAAGTTGTCAATGGGAAGAAGGTTTACCTTCCAACATGACAATGACCCAAAGCATACAGCAAAACCACACAGTGGTTGAAGGAGGAAAAGGTGAATGTCCTTGCATGGCCTAGTCAGAGCCCAGACTTAAACCCCATTGAAAATCTGTGGAATGACTTAAAGACTGCAGTCCACAAACGGTCACCATCAAATTGAACTGAACATGATCAGTTCTTCAAAGAGGAGTGGGCAAATATGGCAAAGTCTAGATGTGCAAAGTTAGTAGAGACATATCCCAACAGACTAAAGGCTGTAATTAAAGCAAAAGGTGGTTCAACAAAATACTGACACAAGGGGTTGATCCATTTTTCAACTCAGATGTCGGTTTATTTATTTTTTGACATGTTAATGTTATATCTTTCACTCGCATGTTATAAGTTGCAATTAAGTAAATATAGCTGGATGAAACAAAAACTGTGTCCATCTTCATTTCAGGCTGCAAAGCAACAAAAATGTGATTTTGTGTTTTATTTTCTATACCCACTGTATATGCATGCTTATGTATATTTCAGAATTGATATCTCAAACCATTTCTCAATATCAGTTGCTATCAAAGCACAAATATTAAATATAATGACAACTTGTGCATCATTTTAACCTCTAGATCTGCTTCCTCATGACTATGAATGTTATTGGCCAGCGTATGAACTTCCTGGTTATTATCCACGGCTGTTGGTTGGTGGCCATCATGGTGCAGCGGCGCAGAGCAGCCATGGCTAAGATCTGGTCAAAATACTGCCTGTTTCTGGTTGTCTTCATGATATACCAATACGTTCTCTGTGTGGGCATCCCTCCTGCCCTCTGTATAGGTGAGTCTACCACTCTATTCAAAACAATAGTGATGTCTGGCTGAATATTAATATCACCATATCACTTTAACAGCAATCATTTTTGTTTAACATTAAAGGAATATGTGGGTTGCACAGCCTTGTTTTGTTTGGACATTCACACAAGTAGGGTTCTTGGTTTAAAAAAAAAGTTCTGGCAATGAAATGGAACAGAACACAAGACTCTTGAGATGCATTTTTAAAAGATTAATTGTTTTTAACAGCCAAGCTGGTGTTTAGCTGATTGGGCTGTTGGTCTGAGTGTCCAAAACTTGATTTAATTAAAAAATAAATAATTAATAACAAATTCTACAACTATTATACAGTTTTTTCAACCATACCCTGGTACATACAGGTGCATCTTAATAAATTAGAATGTTGTGGAAAAGTTCATTTATTTCAGTAATTCAACTCAAATTGTGAAACTCGTGTATTAAATAAATTCAATGCACACAGACTGAAGTAGTTTAAGTCTTTGGTTCTTTTAATTGTGATGATTTTGGCTCACATTTAACAAAAACCCACCAATTCACTATCTCAACAAATTAGAATATGGTGACATGCCAATCAGCTAATCAACTCAAAACACCTGCAAAGGTTTCCTGAGCCTTCAAAATGGTCTCTCAGTTTGGTTCACTAGGCTACACAATCATGAGGAAGACTGCTGATCTGACAGTTGTCCAGAACACAATCATTGACACCCTTCACAAGGAGGGTAAGCCACAAACATTCATTGCCAAAGAAGCTGGCTGTTCACAGAGTGCTGTATCCAAGCATGTTAACAGAAAGTGTGGAAGGAAAAAGTGTGGAAGAAAAAGATGCAAAACCAACCGAGAGAATCGCAGCCTTATGAGGAAAATCGATTCAAGAATTTGAGTGAACTTCACAAGGAATGGACATTGAGTACATGTACAGTAAATGAACATACTTTCCAGAAGGCCAAAGGTTTTTTTTATTGGTCTTATGAAGTATTCTAATTTGTTGAGAATTGGTGGGTTTTTGTTAAATGTGAGCCAAAATCATCACAATTAAAAGAACCAAAGACTTAAACTACTTCAGTCTGTGTGCATTGAATTTATTTAATACACGAGTTTCACAATTTGTGTTGAATTACTGAAATAAATGAACTTTTCCACGACATTCAAATTTATTGAGATGCACCTGTACTGTACTCTCATGTAAAGTGAGGTACTATATAGCAAATCTCAACCGCTTGATTGTTATATCATCGGAAAGTGTGACTATATTAACTCTATATAAAGTTTGGGTATATGTTATATCCAATCTTTGCATGAATACAGTGCACTCCCATAAAGAGATATATACTATAGAGCAAATCTGCTAAATCTAACTATATTATTGCCCAGCTCTTTATATAAAATTGGGTACACTAACATATCTAACTTTATCCTCATTCAAACATGGTATACTCGCATAGGATGATATATTCTATATATAGCATATGTCTACTGCTTGTAGCATTTTCACCCTGCTAAATTCGACTATAAGGTATTAAGATATTAAGATGCTATTAATATTAATATGACGTTTTCTGTAAAGCTTTGAAACTATGTGTGTTGTGAAAAGCACTATACAAATAAATTTGACTTCACTTTATTTGACCTAAAACCAGTGTAAGTCAGCTTGGCTGCCAGCTATGGCGTGTAACAACAAAACACTGCAATATCTATAGACGGTGAATGTGATTTCACCAAGTACAGCATGTAAACAACATTCCAATCAGAATTGAGGGATAAGTTTTCAAGAAATGTCAGTTTTAGGCTTACAATCGTTGTTAGATGCTTCAACACCCTTGTTATTCACCTATCATTTCCCTCTGATTTTAGGAATAAATTATGGGTAGGGTTAGGTTTAGTGGAAGGGATTGGGTTAGGTCTATATTTTTGGACAGTAATGTTGATCCAGGATCAACAAACATGTTGATCCAGGAACATGTCTTACTTGGCAAAATCACGGCGACCATCTATAGACAGCTGTCTGATGCATGTCTACAGTGACCAACAATTACCACAGATTAATTGTCTGTGCTTTCTATGCTGCTTAGTATTAATTAATTTTAAAAAGTTTTCTCGGTAAGTAACCTGACCTGTCTCACATGGCTATAGATTACCCTTGGAGATGGAAAACATCTGTAACTGTCCATTCAGCTCTGGTTAAATGGATCTATTTACCTGACTTCTACACCATCCCCAACTCTAGGAACCTCATATGTAAGTGACCCCTTCAACTGAACAACCAACAGAACAGCAATATAATTATTCACCAGTTATCCTACCTATAATGGCCTCAAAACGTATATGGACACTTAAGCCACATTAAAACATGTATGACTGCTGTTACATTGGACTATAAAATATCAAATCAAGTGGCATCTGCAAACAAATTTTTCTAAAATTTTTCTAAGAACAATGACTTTTCAGTGTTCTGTTTTGAACAGAACAGTTGTTTTATCATTTAAACCTAAAAGAACATCAAAACCTAGTTTATCAAATACAGTGACTGTATTTTAGCTGAGGCTTAAAGGATTAGTGCCCCCCCCCCCATGTCATCCAAGATGTTTGTGTCTTTTTTTCTTCAGTCGAAAAGAAATTAAGGTTTTTGAGGAAAACATTCCAGGATTTTTCTCCATTTAGTGGACATCAATGGGGGACCAACAGATTGAAGGTCCAAATTTGCTGTTTCAATGCAGCTTCAAAGGGCTGTACACTGTACCAGATGAGGAATAAGGGTCTTGTCTAGCAAAATGAAAAATTTATACTTTTTAACCACAAATGCTCATCGTGCACTAGCTCGACCTCACGCATTATGTAGTCACATTGGAAAGGTCACGCGTGACGTAGGCGGAAGCACTGACCCAGTGTTTACAAAGCGAACGTGCAAAGAAAGTCAAACGAGACTTTAGAAAAAAAGGTACAACAACGATTTTGGACGATTTTGATGTTGGAGGAGACATTGAGATGGAGTTTTTCACCCTACACTACCTTTCTGAACTGGAGTACACAGACGAAGAGCTAACCGTGCGTGACCTTTGCAACGGGATTACGTAATACGTGAATTTGCAGTCGCGCATCGCAGAGCTAGTGCCAGACAAGCACTTGTGGTTAAACTTGTGGTTTTTATTTTCTGTAGAAAATGACTGATCGTTTCGCTAGGTAAGACCCTTATTCTTCAGCTGGGATCGTGTAGAGCCCTTTGAAGCTGCACTGAAACTGCAGTTTGGACACCTTGATCCCCATTGAAGTCCATTATGTGGAGAAAAATCCTGGAATGTTCTCCTCAAAAACCTTAATTACTTTTCGACTGAAGAAAGAAAGACATGAACATCTTGGATGACATGGGGGTAGGTAAATGAGAAATAAGAGTGGGCATATTTTTAACTGTCATCCATTTTTTTTTATCCTGCTTAATTTTGCAAAATGGTAAATCTATCTATCTATCTATCTATCTATCTATCTATCTATCTATCTATCTATCTATCTATCTATCTATCTATCTATCTATCTATCTATCTATCTATCTGTCTATCTGTCTGTCTGTCTAGTTAGAATCATAAAAACACTGGTTTGTAGTGGAAATAGTTTCACCATTTGTTACTGCTCTGCTGTTCTTCTGGTTATTTATCATTAGCGGCTATTGAATAAGGTAGATATAGTGTAATCTGAGGTCCCTCCAAAATACATAAAATGTTTACAAAATGTTCTGTTGCAGCGGACTTCCTTCTGCTGATGTGTGCCTCTCAGCAGTGGGCTGTGTTTGAAAATGAGAAAAAGGAAGAGTGGATGGTCATGGGAGGAGAGAACAAAGACAAACCTGACCCCATGGAGGATATGCCCTTTAACCCAGCCCCAAACTTCATCAACTGCAGGTAACACATAGTGTGTACTTTAGTAAAGAATGAGAAATAAAAACAGCTTTATTTGTTATGGACCTAGTGCAAAAGGAGCTTTAAAGGAATAATTCACCCAAAAATGAAAAAAAAACTTGCTGAAAATGTACTCACCCTCAGGCCATCCAAGATGTAGATGAGTTTGTTTCGTCAGAACAGAACAGACTGGAGAAATTTTGCAATACAGTACAGCACTTACTATTGGGTCCTCTGCAGTGAATGGGTGCCATCAGAATGAGAGTCCACACAGCTGATAAAAACATCACAATAATCCACAAGTAATCCACATGACTCCAGTCCGTCAATTAATATCTTGTGAAAAGCTGTGTGTTTGTAAAAAAGAGATCCACCATTAAGGCATTTTAACTTTAAACTGTTGCTTCTGGATAAAATCTGTAATAACACGTCTTTCAGTGACAAAGTCCATCCCCTGTTGTCCTCTCACAACAAAATCCAGTCGCATACTGAATTTGTTTAGAACTGTTATAAACTGTTTTCACTTGTAAACGGTGCTTGATCTCTGCATATTTCTCTCCTGATTCAGACGAGACAACTATTTTCACTGGATAAAGCAATTTTACGGATGGGGACTTGAATTTTAGCCAGAAGCAATGGTTTGAAGTTAAAAACATCTTGATGGATTTATTACAAAGACACAGCTTTTCACTTTACAAGACATTAATTGATGGGCTGGAGTCAAATTGGGATGTTTTAATCAGCTGTTTGGACTCTCATTCTAATGACACCCATTCACTGCAGAGGATCCATTGGCGAGCAAGTGATGTAATGCTAAACTTCTCCAAATCTGTTTAGATAAAGAAACAGTTCAACTACATCTTGGTACATTTTTAGACAAGCGACTGCACACGATTGCAGATTGCACGCTCACCACCGAAACCCCCTTGCTCTGGCACCAGCTCTGATTACAACTAAGCTGTTATATTTTATAATTTTTAGGAACTATTTTCTTTATTAATTTATTGTATTAAAAATAACATCTGTGTGTGTCTCTCTCTCTATGCACTGAAGGTCCTATCTGGACATGGCAAAGGTCCTGGTGTTCCGGTACATGTTCTGGTTTGTGCTGTCAGTGGTGTTTGTGACTGGAGCCACTCGGATCAGTGTGTTTGGGTTGGGGTATCTTATGGCCTGCTTCTTCTTCCTGCTCTTTGGCACACGGCTGCTGATCAAGCCATCACGTACACGTCTGATCATGTGGGACTGTCTGATCATGTACAATGTGGCTGTGATCATTTCCAAGAACATCCTGTCTGTGAGTGAGCAGTCCTTCATTGAGTAGACTCACTGGTCCTAAGCCAAACAGCTAGAAAGAGAACAACTTTCTTACAACATATCTGTTCTTGTCTTAGATCCTGGCCTGTGTGTTTGTGTTGGAGATGCAGAAGAACTTCTGCTGGGTGATTCAGCTCTTCAGTCTGGTGTGCACAGTCAAAGGCTACTATGACCGTAAGTTTTGCACTATTTCTGGGTTGTCCTAGAGCAGTGGTTCCCAATTTTTTTCCCACAGTGCACCACCTCCTTATCTTTGTTGACAAATTACATTGTAGGGCTGTTCCCCTAATAGTCGACTAAAGGTTAGGCGCATATCCGAGTGTTAGTGTGGAGTGTGGAAGCTATTAGCGATCTTACTGAAGGAATAATTCAGTTATAATAAATAATTCAGACGATCCATACCTATATTTATATATAATTTTCTTGTGTTTGTATTCTTTAATAATTGCACTGTCCGTGGAGCGGACCTGACTTACATTTCACTGCTGGTCATATATTCTCTATATAACCATGTATGTGACAAATAAAAATCTTGATTCTTACTGCATGACATGGAGACACCAGTGTGATCACTGGCATTTTTTCCTGATAACAGTGGAAACAAAATACGCAGTCATAGGGTCAGGGACAATACTGTAAAGGGTCTGTTTTTATTTGTTTACACTTACAAAATTAACAAGACATGCTTTTGTAAAATAAAGAAAACAAACAGGACACGCTTTCTGTCATCTCTGTCTCCATGCACTGGAGTGCGGCACAAAACTCAGCATATAGGCTGCTTGCCTCACAGATACCCACTTCATCTTTGCAGCCAACTCACTGACTGAGAAAGCACTAGTTTATTAATAAATAATTAAAATATCTCCTTGCTGTTTTCCCAACACAGTCATTATTTTTTATCTTTATGTGTGCGCTTGAGTGCCGAATAGGCTATATATTAAAGGCTCATTATGGTTTAGTTCTCCACCCCCCAGTATATATTTAATTCATTAAATTAATATAAACATGTGATTAGTCGACTAATCGCTTGTTTAGTTGACTACTAGTCAAGTACAAAAATCTTTAGTCGGGGGCAGCCCTAGTACATTGTTACATTATTTTACATAGAAACTACAAAATTCGTTGTTTTTGTCTATAGTAAAAATATTTAAGTAAGGACTCACAAGATGGTGGCAATTAATTATTCCAAATTGTGTTAATATAAAAAGAGAGCGCAGTGTTTTGAGAGACATAGATGTGCTGTTATGTTCTCACTGAACTACTGAAATATCATGTAATGAAATGTATTATATAAAAATATTTGCCTGCTTAGTGTGGTAATTTACTGTGTAAGGTATTGTGTAAGGTTTAAGTGTTTGTAGTAACGAGGAGAACATGGTTCTTAAATTAACATAATCAGCAGGCCAATGCTTGTCTTTAAAATGCACATGTATGAGATGAGATCATTTTTTTCCACCATTTGAAATATTTTCTAGGGCATGTGCACAGCATTTTTAATATCTTAGAACAAGCCACATTACAGACCACAGTACAGTCAGATGTAATCTTTTTTGTGTGTATGTGTTTCTTCCTCAGCTAATTCAGTGTTTGATAAAGAATGCTTGCTGCCTGTGGAAGAAGCTGGCATTATCTGGGACAGTATCTGTTTCTTCTTCCTCCTGCTTCAGAGGAGAGTCTTCCTCAGTTTTTATTTCGTGCACATAACTGCAGATCTTCAAGCATCAGCACGACAAGCCTCTCAGTAAGTTCGCCCCCTGCTGGACACATCAGAAAGGGTAGTTATTTCATGTATTCAAAGTCAAAGTCAAAGTCTGCTTTATTGTCAATTCTTCCACATGTACAGCGCAGACATACAGAGAATTGAAATTGCGTTACTCTCAGACCCTTGGTGCACACAGATAACACTAACAGTAGAACATAAAAATACAGATAAATACAGATGAAATATAAAATACAACTATACAAATATACAAATAAGGACATGTAAAAAAAGAGTGCAAACCAGTGAAATAAACAAACAGTGCAGATATAATGATTATAGTGCAAAAGAGCTTATTCAGTCTGATTAAAGTGACAAAAAGCTCAGAGAGCAGTTCTTTATATAAACTGTCAGAAGAGGTAGTTGAATGAGGTCAGTTCAATGCTGAATGAGGTAGTGAGCAGACCAATGCTGCACAAAGTGACTGGTGCAGGTCACAGTGTGTTACTGGGAGGGGGAGTGGAAGGACCTGGGGATGTGGGTGCGGGTGGGGGTCTGAGGGTCAGAGTTCAGTGGTGCAGGGGGCAAAAGAGGGGAGGGGGGGCAAGGTCGGGAGGGAGTTCAGCTTCCTGACTGCCTGATGGATGAAGCTGTCCTTCAGTCTGCTGTTCCTGGCCTGGAGACTCCGCAGTCTCCTCCCTGATGGCAGCAGACTAAAGAAGCTGTGTGTCGGGTGGGTGGGATCACCTGCAATGCAGAGGGCTTTGCGGGTGAGACAGGTTCCATAAATGTCCTGGAGGGTGGGGAGAGAGACACCAATGATCTTCTCAGTTGCTCTCACTATGCATTGAAGGGTCTTGCTGCAGGACGCGTTGCAGGTGCCATACCACACAGAGATGCAGCTTGTCAGAATGCTCTCAATGGTGCCTCTGTAGAAGGTGCACATGATGGGGGCCGGGGCTCTGGCTCTTCTGTTTGCGGAGGAAGTAGAGACGCTGCTGGCTTTCTTGGCCAGTGCTGAGGTGTTGTCAGTCCAGGAGAGATCCTCTGTGATGTGCACACCCAGGACCCAGTGTTCAGTGTGATGGTGCTGGATGTGTTGCTGCCGACCTGTACTGCCTGAGGTCTTCCAGTTAGAAAGTCCAACAGCCAGTTAGTGTTACTTGACTAGTTAGTAGTCAAGTGTTGAGCCCCAGCTGGACCAATTTGTGAATGAGCTGTTGAGGGATGATTGTGTTGAATGCTGAACTGAAGTCTATGAACAGCATTCTTACGTATGAGCCTTTTTTGTCCAGATGTGTGAGTGCTGAGTGGAGGGCAGTGGCGATGGCGTCATCGGTCGAGTGGTTGAACCGATATGCAAACTGGAAGGGGTCCAGGGAGGGGGGGAGGACAGACTTGATGTGGTGCATGACTAGCCTTTCAAAGCACTTCATGAGAATAGGAGTAAGTGCAACTGGACGGTAGTCATTGAAGCAGGATGGAGACGGCTTCTTCGGGACTGGAATGATGGTGGTAGCTTGGAAGCATGTGGGGACAACTGCCTGACTTAGCGAGATGTTGAAAATGTCTGTGAAGACATCAGTGAGTTCCACTGCACAGTCTCTCAGTACACGCCCATGAATGTTGTCAGGACCCGGAGCTTTGCGTGCGTTGATCCTGCTGAGGATCAACTCACGCTGTCCATTCCATTCAAAGTCAGATGTGAGAAATTCCTACTTGATACATCTGATTTACAATCCTAGTCTTCTCTTGTCTGATTCTCTGAAGATGATGTATAAAGAAAGGAAATAGCAATGCTTGCATTTTTATTTCAAGTGAACGATTGTTAACAGACAAGTTAAATTATACCATCTGTGCAAATAATTTATTCATTATAATTATAATTATTATTATTATGCAATTATTTTTTTAGCTTGAATGTTCATCATTAACTGCGTACACCTCCCTGGAGGCCGCCATGGTTTTGTTTTGTTTTTTGTTTTTTTGGCATAATAAATGCATCTAGGCCAGGGTGAATTCAAAGGCTTTCATCCTGAAGTCTAACTTCAATTGGCATTGTGTTGCACTTTACAAAGTATGAAAAGTTAAACAATTTCGACTTTCAAAGTTGAGTGGAATACAACAAAAACAGTGATTTAGTGAATAAGTTAGGGTATTTCTAACATATAAAATGTATTTTCTGACCTGATTTGTCATGTGTGTGTGTGCATTAAGGGGTTTCGAGCTGTTCCGAGCCAGTATTATAAAGAACATGCATTTCCATCAGCAGGCAGAGAAGAAGTCAATTCAGCAGCTAAATGAATCGTGAGTTAACACTTTGTCCTTTTTTTTTTACCATAATCAGTAAATCAATCAAAAACTCTCACTATGTCCTTCCTGAGCTCTAGTCACTCTATATATTCTATCTTCATTTTTCCTCAGGATGAAACGCATACGTGACAAACAGCAGAAATATAAAGAAGGACGTAAAACTTCAGATATAGAGGAGCAGCCATCAGGTTCAAATGCATTACCATTTAAACTAATAGAAATTTGATCAGCTGTGGTTTGAAATAACTATGCTTAAAGGGGTCATATGATGCGATTTCAATTTTTCCTTTCTCTTTGGAGTGTTACAAGCTCTTGGTGCATAAAGAAGATCTGTAAAGTTGCAAAGACTAAAGTCTCAAATCCAAAGAGATATTCTTTATAAAAGTTAAGAGTCAGCCACGCCTACCTTAAATGGCTCGTTCTAACACGCCCCCACATGTCTACGTCACGATGTGGGAAGATTTGCATAACGCCACCCAAATGTCCATGCAAAGAAAGAAGGCGTAACTTTTATTTTTGCTGTAGTATTGTTGTTGCCGCCACCGCCATGCCGTGAAGGCGCTGTGTTTTGTTGTGAAAGCGAAACTACTTTGGTTGGCCTTCCAAAAGAGGACGATATCCGCTTCCTCATGCCTGGAGCTGATCCGTGCTG